GTTTCTCTTGTAATTGTAACTTTATCAGAAAGAAGCAATGTGGAAATTGGCAAATTGCCGAATCATGTAAAAATCCCTATCTTATCGTTGATTTCCCCGTCTATCTTGTTTCTCTCTCGCTTGTAGGAAATATGATTCCTAACAAAATTTTTGTTACTAGTGCATCTAAATCAATCTTGCTAGTAATTTTCCTTTATCAAATTGACCGGTGTGTAGTTTTGCAGTGAAACCTCAGAAGGGAGATGCTTTGCTCTTCTTTAGCCTTCACCTTGATGCAACAACAGATTCCATTAGCTTGCATGGGAGCTGTCCTGTCATTGAAGGTGAAAAGTGGTCTGCAACAAAATGGATTCACGTAAGATCCTTTGACGAACCAGAGGAGCAAGAATCCGATGGCGGATGCTCGGATAAGAATGACTTGTGTGCAGGTTGGGCTGCTCTCGGCGAATGCCAAAAGAACCCGCGTTATATGGTAGGGTCTAAGGACTCCCCTGGATTCTGTAGGAAGAGTTGTAAGGTTTGTGACTCTTAAGTCGTTTACTTCATCTGGTCAATTCTATTCCACACTGTAACTTTTCTTCGGTATACTAGGTGTACATAACATTTGAGTGTAGTGAATCGATCTACGAAACGATAAAGTTGATAAAGTGTTGTTAGCTCCAGTCTCGTAAACTTTTTATCTTTCAGCATTTCAATGAAATAAACATTGTTGTGTTTTTCCTTCTTGATGTACAATTTTAAACATCGTGGTAACATTGGCTTAGAAAACCCACTTTCACGAGAGGGATCTCAGCGCCTTGTTTTATTCTTGTAGTTAGAACCTCGCAGCAACAACTGAAACGAAATAGAGCAAACAGACCAACCTTTGCATCTCACTCATCCCACGCTCGCCACAAAAACAAACTTTTCATCCAAACCCTGCAACTCTAGCATCCCATCACTTTATTCGCCTCTGCCTTCGGTTTCTCGGCAACAACCCCATCGTTCCCCGCCAGCGCCCTGTACTTATCCTTCCTCGTAAAGTTCGTACACTCATACGACAGGCTCGCCGCAATAAGCCTCTGTATATAATTTGCGACGTCATGGCTG